GGTTCCATTCCAAGTTTTTTTGACGAATCTCCATATGACTTTCAAAACTTGCATTGCACCAGCAATGTATGAGTGTACCTTTTACCGCACATCTTTGTCAAAATTTATCGTTGCTTGTATTCCTAAAAATTGCCATTCTGACTGTGGTGAGATGAAATCTCAGTGTATTTTTGATTTGTATTTCTTTAATTGCTAAAGATATTGTACATATATTTATATATTTGTTGATTAGTTGTATTTCTTCTGTGAATTGTCTTTTTCAGCTCTTTAGTCCTTTTAATGACTGGATTATATAGTTTCTTGCTGTTAAGTTTTTTGAGTTCTTTATATATCCTGGAGATTATTGCTTTATCAGAGTTTCAGTTTGATATATTTTTTCCCATTCTGTCATCATTCTGTTCATGTTCTTTTCTCCTTTCCTATGAAAAAAATATTTTTAGTTTGATTCCATCTCATTTACTGATTCTTGATAATATTTCTTGTGCTTTAGGAGTCTTGAAGTTCCTAAGCTGACATGATGTAGATCTGGGACTACTTTTTTTTCCTATTTTCCTGTGTTCTAGTGCCTATGTCTTTGATCCACTTTGAGTTGATTTTTGTGCAGGTTGGGAGATAGAGGTTAAATTCATCTTGTTACATATGGATTTTCAGTTTTCCCAGTACCATTTGTTGAAGAGTTTATCTTTTGTCCAATGTATGTTTCTGACACCTTTGTCCAGTATAAGGTAACTGTATTTATGTGGATTTTTCTCTGTGTCTTCTATTCTTTGTATGTATCTGTTTTGCTGCCAGTGCCATTCTGGTGTTTGTTACTATGGCCCTGTAGTATAATTTTAAGGTCTGGTTTTGTGATGCCTTCTGCTTCACTTTTCTTTTTTCTAAAATATATATATATATATATATATATATATAAAGTCTTTTAAGTGGTCACAATATCTTTTTTTTTTAAAGAGAGAGTGAGAGGAGAGAGAGAGAGAGAGAGAGAGAGAGAGAGAATGAGAATGAGAATTTTTAATCTTTATTTTTTAGTTCTCGGCGGACACAACATCTTTGTTGGTATGTGGTGCTGAGGATCGAACCCGGGCTGCACGCATGCCAGGCGAGCGCGCTACCGCTTGAGCCACATCCCCAGCCCTACAATATCTTTATTTTATTTTTTTATGTGGTGCTGAGGATAGAACCCAGTGCCTCATGCATGCCAAGTGAGCACCACTTGAGCCACATCTCCAGCCCTTGCTTCACTTTTCTTGCTAAATATTGTTTTGGCTATTCTAGGTCTCTTATTTTTCCAAATAAAAAAATTAATGAAGTAACTTTTTTATAGCTTTATTTTATTCATTTATTTTTAATGTGCTATTGTGGATTGAACAGAGGGCCTCACATGCACTAGGCAAGCACTCTACCATTAAGGCACATCTCCAGGCTCCAAATGAATTTTATAGTTGCTGTTTCTATGAAGAATGTCATTAAGATTTTAATAGGAAATTCATCAATTATGTTATAATGTTTTTAGTAGTATGGCCATTTTGACAATGCCAATTCTGCCTATGCAGAAGCATGGGAAGTCTTCCCATCTTTGAAGTTCTTCTTCAATTTATTTCTTTAGTTGTGTAGTTTCATTGTAAAGATCTTTCACTTCTTTTGTTAAATTGTGCATCTTGGTTCTGACCTCTGGGCTAAGTTGTACTACACAGACCTAATAAGCTCTCATGAATGTCTCCATATAAATATTCATGATTCTTTCAAGACCCATGGTAACCCAAGATGAGTCCTCTAAATTTATGCCAATGCACAATTTAAAATAGATTTATTGCATGATGATTATCTGCCAGACTGTGTTTCTTGAATATACTGATGGGAAAAAAAAAAATGTTCTTCATGAAGAGCTGCTAAGCAGCACATAAATTCAACCAGGTAATTTTGTGTACTTTTGGAAAATCAGAGTAATTCTGTGTAAGATACATTCAATCATCCAGGAACTGGATGATTATAATAATATAAATCTCCTTATGAGAATAAAACTCAGAGTAGATAATTATAATTAAAAATCCACATAGAAGCATGTATGTTGTGACACACAGAAACTCACTCTGTATAATGAGGCAGAAAGAATACCTTGACAAAAACGGTGTTATGATTTAGATGTGAGGTGTTCCCCAAAAACTCATGCATGACAAAATGCAAGAAAGTTTATATGTGAAATGATTGGGATATGAGATTCTTAACGTAATCAGTGCATTAATATTCTAATAGGGATTAGCTGGGTAGTAATTGTAGGCATTTAAGATGTGGCTAGAGAAGGTGGGTCATTGAGGGCATGATTTTGGAATTTATATTTTGTCTGTGGTAAGAAATGCTCTCTCCTCCCCTCTTCCTTGTGGTTATGTCCTGAGGCAATTTGTTGTACCACATCTGTTTATTATGATCTTCTGGTATACTTTGGGCAAAGAGTAATAAAAGGAGCTGTCTATGGGCTGAGGCTTAATCCCAAGCACCACACATAAAAAAAAAATTTAAAGTTGGATGACCTAAAGATCCAGAAATGCCAGCACTAAATATGTATCCATGCACAATTAAATCAGCCAATTGAAGAGATACCTCTACTTTTGTGTTCAGTGCAAACAGTGTCCTTAATGTGCCTATCAATGATTAAATGAGTATAAATATTGTACTTATATACTATTATTATTTAGTTATATAATTTTTTTTGTCTGTTAAAGTGTTATAGGATATATATGCAGGACTTTGCATTAAGTAAAATATGGCAGGCAGAGAGTCAGTTGCAGGAGCTTTTGATTCACATGTGGAAGTCAAAAATTTAATGAGTAAAATTTTACTCACCAGGTACTGTGTTTTGTGTAGGGCTGACATTGTTAGTCAAAGTCTCCATATTTTTTATTTTAGTGGACATAAGAGGGTCAAGAGCTTTGTTTACCACATGGTGAGTGTAGTGTGTATTATGTTCTTCCTAAATACTAATAGAAGGAATACAATACCTTTTTCAGTGCAAAACTGATAATTATATAAAATAATGCATGTGTTGAATCATTTTAGTCATTTTACCTTGTATAAATAGTATAAGATACCATAATATATGTAGTAAATACATATAGTTGTATTTTCATTAAAAGAAATCATCATATCACACAAATTTAAAAGTATAAAAATCAATTTATTATTGTTGATTGCCATTTTTTTATTTCATTCAAGTATTATGTCCATAGGCTATTCAAGGTTTTTATAATCTTTTAAATATGTTTTTAGGGAAAATTTTATAGACATATATGTGTATATTTCTTAAGAAAATTTTTGTTAATATTTCTTTTTAAGAGTCCATAACCACTCTACCCTTGTTGAATATTTATGGTATTATCACCCAAAATCTATCATTTATTTTTATGTCTCTATATCATGGTAGATAAAAACCAGTTTTCAGACAGTCTTTAAAAAAGCCACAAATGTTTATATATGTTTTACATTTTTCTTATTCTACTGAGAGTGAAGGTAACTGGTAGATATTTACTAAATACAGAATGCTACCTTATGGAGGACAAAAGTCTGTGGATGATAACAGTAACATACTTTCCCTCTCTCTATTGTATTACTCTACTTAGTGATGTACTACTCTTGGATACTGTGGTCTCTTCAAAAATTTGGGTAATATTCCCAAGGTAATTTTTTTCTATACATTTTTATTGAACTGATATATTTTTGGATTAATGATAACTTTGGATTTACTAATCTGCTATGCTCCTGATGTAATTATTTTACCTTAACTTCATGTTGTGTATGCAAATATATTTATCCCAGTCTAGTATGTAATTTTTTAAAAATTTTTTTGTTTACTTCAGCCATGACTCCTCATCACACCGAAGAATATTCACCAGAAAAGGGCATAAAACATATATTTCACAAAGTGATCAGTGAAAAATACAGAAATTTTTATCTTGACTATTTACAAGAAAAGAAAATATGGAAAACTATAAGTGAGAGTAAACATCAGGAATTGTATGAAAAATCAGGCCTTGTTCACCTCCAAAGAATTTATACTGGAGAGAAGCCCTACAAATATAAACAATGTGGCAAAGCTTTTAGTACAAAAAAAAGTCTTATTTACCACAGAAGAACCCATGCTGGAGAGATGTCCTACCAATGGGCAGAATGTGATAAAGTTTTTAAAGAAAAATCAATGTTTATTAAGCAAAGCAGAATTCATACTGAAAAGAAGACCTACAAATGTAAAGTATGTGGTAAAGCTTTTACTCAAATATCAACCCTTATTTGCCACAACAGAACTCACACTGGAGAGAAGCCCTACAAATGTAAAGAATGTGGAAAAGCTTTTAGTCAAAAAACACACCTTATTTGCCACAACAGAACTCACACTGGAGAGAAGCCCTACAAATGTAAAGAATGTGGAAAAGCTTTTAATAAAAAAGCAGGGCTTGTTTGCCACAACAGAACTCATACTGGAGTGAAGCCCTACAAATGTAAAGAATGTGGAAAAGCTTTTAGTGAAAAAGCCACCCTTATTTGCCACAATGGAACTCACACTGGAGAGAAGCCCTACAAATGTAAAGAGTGTGGCAAAGCTTTTAGTCACAAAACAAGCCTTATTTGTCACAAAAGAACTCACACTGAAGAGAAGGCCTACAAATGCAAAGTATGTGACAAAGTTTTTACTCAAATATCACACCTTATTTGCCACAGAAGAACTCACACAGGAGAGAAGCCCTACAAATGCAATGAATGTGGCAAAGCTTTTAGTCAAAAAACACACCTTATTCACCACAGCAGAACTCACACTGGAGAGAAGCCCTATAAATGTAAAGAATGTGGAAAAGCTTTTAGTCAAAAAACTGGCCTTATTCGCCACAGGAGAACTCACACTGGAGAGAAGCCCTACAAATGTAAGGAATGTGAGAAAGCTTTTAGTCAAAAAACAGGCCTCATTTACCACAGTAGAACTCACACTGGAGAGAAGCTCTACAAATGTAAAGAGTGTGGCAAAGCTTTTAATCAAAAATCTGGCCTTATTTGCCACAACGGAACTCACACTAGAGAGAAGGCCTACAAATGTAAAGAATGTGGCAAAACTTTTAGTCAAAAAACAAGCCTTATTTGTCACAACAGAACTCACACTGAAGAGAAGGCCTACAAATGCAAAGTATGTGACAAAGTTTTTACTCAAATATCAAATCTTATTTGTCACAGAAGAACTCACACGGGAGAGAAGCCCTACAAATGTAATGAATGTGGCAAAGCTTTTACTCAAAAAATTCACCTTGTTTACCACAGTAGAACTCATACTGGAGAGAAGCCCTATAAGTGTAAAGAATGTGGAAAAGCTTTTAGTCAAAAAACACACCTTATTCGCCACAGTAGAACTCACACTGGAGAGAAGCCCTACAAATGTAAAAAGTGTGGCAAAGCTTTTAATCAAAAATATGGCCATATTTGCCACAACAGAACTCAAACTAGAGAGAAGGCCTACAAATGTAAAGAATGTGGCAAAGCTTTTAGTCAAAAATAAGCTTTCCTTGCCACAGGAGAACTCACACTGGAGAGTGAGTAGCCCTGCAAATGTAAATAATGTGGCTATGCTTTTAATCAAAAATAAAACTTTATTTACCACAGCAGAAGATGCTCTGGTGAGAAACCTTAAAAATATGAAAGAAGTGATAATGCTTTTAAAGAAAAATCAAACCTTATTAACCACAAAATTTATACAGAAGGAACCCCTACAAATGGAAACAATGTAGCAAAGCTTTTAATAAGAAATCAAAACTTTTTCACCACTACTAAGCTATTTATTCTGCAAAGAAGACTACAAATGTAGAGAATGTAGAAACATTTTTAATTATATATCACACATTACTAGACATTCAAGAAAACACACTGGAGAGAAGCTCTACAAATAAGACCTTTGTACCATTTCTTTAAGGACGGGTCAACATTTAATCCTCTCCACAATCATCACAGCAGAGAGAAATTTTTGAAATGTGAAAATTGACAATGTGACAATGCCTCCATAATTGATTCACCAATACTCAGCACCTGAGGAAACATACTGGTTAGAGAGAATACAAATGGGAAAAAAAAATGTTTCAAAGCCACATGTTTCTTAAACACTACAGATTTTTGGAGAATTCATTGTGCCCAGAAATCCTAAATAGTTAAATAATATTTCCAAAACTTATTCAAATTTTCATTTCATTGAACATTTTAAAACGCATACCAGAGTGAACATTGAACATATTTTGTCCAAAATGAATGCCTTATATAACAACAAAACATTTACAATAAACAGCTTGACAAATGTGAGAGTATAGTAAAGTCATTACCTATACATTACACCTTGATGTATATGAGGATCAGTGAAAGAACTAATTTAAATATAGAAAATGAGTAGTTATCTTTCACTTTTTCTTAAATTTATTAAACATTGTTCAGTTATTTGGTAGAAATAACAATCTAAAATAAATATTAAAAAATTCTCTCTCTCTAAAAAAGTAAATCTCATAACAAAATTTTAAAAAGCTATTTTTGATGTTTTATACTGAATTTTAAAGTTTTAAACTTTGCTTTTTTTGTACTGAAGTTTAAGTTTAGGGATTTTTAAATACTGGGCCACATTCCTAAGCCCTCTCCCCACTTTTTCAAATTTTGAGACTGGTCTTGCTAAGTTGCTTGAAACAACACTCAGTTTGTGAGGCTGAATTTAAACTTCTAAAACTTCTCAGCTTCCCAATTTACTTGTTTGCAAGCATGGACCATCATGCCAGTTTACAGTGCATTTTTCACCTATAGTTACCTTATGTATGCAGTATGTTATTATAACTGAATAGTTCCTTATATGTTAACAATCATGTATTGAATCCTGTCATTAAATGACAGACATCACAGTGTTCCACTTGACTAAATGTTCTATGTAAGAGTAAAACATACTGTTGAGTAAATAATACTCTAGCATCTCTTAGTACTTTTACACATTTTAATCAACCTTAATGGATAATATAATTTGCTTAAATCAGATAATTAAAGGTTTTTTCTTTTAGTATTTATGGTGAAATTTGAAGACTTATAAGAAGGTCATAGTGATATAAAAATAAGCCCTATATTTTCATATATTGAATTAGAAATTTTAATATTTTATCTTCCACTGAAGATTAACTTTATACTTTAGGTATCTCTCATCCCACTTTACAGTGAGAACCTGGGTTGTAAATGTTATTTATATATATATTGTAGTTAGACACAAGAACTTTATTTTATTTTATTTATTTTTATGTGGTGCTGAGGATCAAACCCAGAGCCTTGCACATGCGAGGGGAGCGCTCTATCACTGAGCCATAACCCCAGGCCCACTGAAGGTCAACTTTATTAGATTACCTCATGCCTGATCATAGCAAGAAATAGATTCATCAAATTAAGTTAGTTCATAATTTTTGTGACATAATATTTATTTGGTCCAGACATGAAGACTTTATTTGATTAAACAAGCATTCTCTTTGATAAGATTACATGACCAGTGCAATTCTTCATCATGTACGACTTAAAAAATGAGAAGTTATACTCCACTTGTGTATGATGTGTCAAAGTGCTTTCTACTGTCATGTATATCTAATTTGAACAAATAGAAAACTAAATAAAATGATTAATTTGTTTGAACTCCTATTAAAGTCTGTCTTAAAATTTTATCTGAATCAGATAGTGTTGTTAAGGGAGCAATATCAAACCACAAGATAAAAGAATAGTTTTCCTGTTTTTACAACATGGCAGACCTATCTGAGGTGTAACAAATCATATTTTCCTCAATCACTGAAGAAAAGTGGTGGAAGAAAACAGAAAAATCCTTAAAATCTCCTGAGAAAGGCTTAAGCCCTTCTGTGTCTGACTACTCTAATTGGCCTGGGCAAGCTTTAGGTGGATGGTTCCAAATATAATGGATCTATTTGGTGTTTGGCAATAGCTCATTTCATGTTTTCTAGACTTGGAAAAGTAATTCCTGAAGTGTTTGGCTAAAATAAAAATGGTAACAATGAAGAAGACTAATAGTTTTTGAAAGAAAATTCTAAACCTTTTAACGTTTGCTGTTCTTTTATTTTGAAAGCCAGAACATGTACCCTAAATGAGTAAGAGATGTAAATAAGGTGGCTTTAAAATAATTTGCTGCATAAGCAGGAACTTAGATGTAGTGCAAGAATGAGGAAATCAATGTCTCTGGGACAATCAAATCATGGACATATTGTAAATGATATCACCATTTTGGCTTTTCAGTTGTAGCTTATTGCTGCTAGACATCAACCTCATGGATAGGTATGTGCAGTCATGGTAGGCAATCACTCTACCATGACTCTAATAATAATTTGAAATATGTTCACACTCATTGTGTATAACAGATTTTGGACTATAGCCACCAAAATTCATCGCTCCCCAATCCCTATTATAAATAAAGTTATTGTTCTCTACATTTAAGTTTTATTGATATCTCATTGCAATTTTAAGATATTGATGTTTTTTCCCCAATATCTCTGGTTTTCTAAGTGAATAATTTCAAAATTGATAATAAATTACTTTTCATCATTTCTAGTAAATATGTAATTTATCTTTTCCTTTCTTAAATATTTCTGTATTCTATTTAAGTAGAGTTGAATAGTGAATTTTAATTTAATTACATTTGAATATAAACAGGAATAGCCAGCATGCTTCAGGTTTATGATTTTAATTGAAAAATAAGTGTTGTGCCATCTAATAACAGTTCTGTCTCCTGTTTTGCAGAAGTGGTACTCATTCTTTCAACTTTCATTGCTGTTTTAATTAGAAATACTTACTAAAGTGTTCCTTCATCTATATTACTCTTTAAACTATTTATTAGACATGAATTCTCTGAAAGGGATATCTTTAACTTCTGGATTTGTACATCTAGAATGTATATTTTCTTATTTGTTGATTCTTTTTACAAATGTTCTAATTAGATTTTTTTCACTTCCATTCATTTTTGCTATTTTTGTGCCATTTTTGAGATTTTAGTATTCATTTTTTATAATTAATAGGATGAAACCCTAAGACATTCATGTTAGGTTCGTGTAGTCCAGAATATTTTTAAAATCTTAGAATTTAATGATCTGGTTCATAAAGTTAGCTAGGACCCAGCTATTAACCTATGTAATATGCTTGTATTTCTAATAGTAGCTGATAGTACACTTGCTGATATGATAATCCATTCATTCATATTTGTCACCTACTGAGTTACTTTTAGCAGTATGAAATTTATTTAAAGAATAGTCCTCCTTCTTGGTTCTCAAAGTGCTATTAATCACTGATGTCATCTTTTCTGATTTTTTTTTATTAATTTACTTATTAGTATAGGACATTGAACTGAGGGGTAATTTTCTGCCAAACTCCAACCTGATGTTTTTTCATATTTCAATGTGACACAGAATCTCATTAGGTTGCTTAGGGTCCTCTTACATTACTGCAATTGGCCCTGAATTTGCGATCCTTCTGATTCAGTCTTCCAAGTGAAGTCTCTTGGAGAAAATGCACATGTCAATTCTCTGGCCTTTTTGTTTGATAATTTTTTTAACTGGGCTATGGTTATTATTCTTTCTTATTATTAGTATTATAGTTTCACTTGCCTTCTTTTTTTCCCTTGATTTGATATTGAGAAGCTGGGCAAAATGGCTCTTGCTCATAATTCCAGCACTTTGGAAGTGGAAGGCAGCAGGAGAATCCCACATTTGAGGACAGCCTGGGTACTTTAGCTTCTCAAAATTAAAACTTTTCATTTAAAAAAGACAGTATGTACAGCTCGGTGGTGGAAAATTCCTAGATTATATTTCCAGTACTGTAAGGGTGATTGACATCCACAAATTTAATAATCACTTGTATTTTCAATTATATGTTTGATAGATTTATCCCCAATAGTTAGATTTACTAAGTCATTTTTCTTTCATTATTATTAGTATTTCAGAATACTTTTAAAACTGCAGTGTTTTTGTTGTAAGAAAAATAAAGGGAGACACTGAGACAAGATGCAGAGGCAGGAAAAGAAAGAAGGAATGGCTGGCTCTTCAAGCAGCCTTATTTATTTATCCCCCAAAATTACATTGGATCATTGGTTCAATGATTACATTGTTTTACTTTAATTCCAGAACCTCTTCTTGAGGGCATCACCATAGTAAATCGATATTGAACACAGAACCTCTTCTTGAGGGCATTACCATAGTAAATCGATATTGAACATGTTTTAGTTATCTTACTAGCTTCACAGAGAAATTGCTGAGCATTCCAAGCATGGGAAACAGAGTGTCAGTTACCCCCCAGGAGTTTGACCTTTCTGTGGGTTTATTTTCTCTGGACACTTAGCTTTCCAGGCAGAGAGCAGTGTGTTTCTCTCAGAAGTGTATAACTTCTTCCTCCACCTGGTATTCAATGGTTCTTCCTCTTTCTCAGTATGCCTAATTATCCAAAGTAAAATCCAGAATGTTGGAGTTGCAATCTCCTCTTTTCTCTGACCACCCCCCCCAAAAAAAAAACAACTGAGAATTGATCATACAATAGTGTTTCAACTTTGGGGAAAAGCTCATCTGCAGGAAAGACAACAGCTTTTCTTCCCCATTTAGTGAGGCTGTTCTTTGTTTTGCTCTCTATTACCAGTTTTCATTAGTTTTACTACAACTACTTAGATAAATTTGGGAGCTGTGTGTATATTTAAGTGAGGTTGTGGAAAAGAGAGCCATTTTGTATAATTGTGCAGAGTCTAAACTCTCTTCAGCAGGTTGGACCTTCTTGTTTTTAAAGTGGAAATATTGTATTGCTCAATGAGTAATTGTAAAATTCAGTGCATGAAATTACATTTAGATGTGCTAATTTGAAAATTAGTGTGTAGGAAGAAAATCATGAGTGATTTTCAGGAATAAGTGTAGGGCCTGGGATATGACTTAATGATAGAGCATTACCTTTGTTAGATCCATATCACCAAAAAGAAAAGGAGAATGTATTTTTAAGGGAGAACAGACCATGCTTTGAAGGACATGATATCTAAGTGACATAATGGAGAATGTTGTGACTTTGTTCTTTTTTTGTTCATTTTTCAATTTTTACAAAATGATCGTAGGTTTAGAGCATTTTGAAATTGCATATATAGAACAGAAAAAAAAAACTAAAAAAATATAAAGTAATAAATTTTAAAAAAATGAATCTAAAGTCAAACAAGGCTCTTGGAACATTCCTTCTTGATTTATCAGATAAGCTAATTATCAGTTTCCTCATACTTAAAAATAACACCAAGAATAAGTTTCAAGAGCTGTTACTTCATGCTGCATAAAAATCCTCTAATTTTTGGATATTGTTTTCTATTAAATATATGCAAAGTAATTTTTCATATTTAAATGGTGACTTAAGTAACAATAATATAACAAGGGTAAATTCAGAAAATAAAATTATTTCATAAACATAATTGTATACAAAGTCCTTGTAGACAAGTGGTGTGATGCATAATAAAGTCTATTGTATAAAGAAAAATTGCATGCATGCAAGAAACCACTGAAGTTTCCTTGCACTAGTAGACATTGGGTTTAACATGGAGACTGTTAAATAAGGGGTTATGGGTCAAAGATAGCATCATAGCCTGTTTTTCAAATGAAGTGTTTGCATTATTGTTGTTGTTGTTTTGCAGTGCTGAGATTGTATCCCAGGCTTCATAAATGCTAGACAAGTACTCAACTGCTGGAGTTACACCTCTATCTCCTGAAAACAGTTTTACTAGAATGTCAACTGACATACAGTTATTATGTATTGTAGAATTCAGGCTATGATCATAGAGAATTTTTGGTTGACAAAGCCTAAAGTATTTATGATCTGACCTTCTGAAGAAAAATTTTGCAAATTACATTGATATAATCTTAATGCAACCAAATATATTGAGGTTAGTGGAATATAAATCCCTATGCACAATCTACCAGCAGCATTCAGGTTAATTTAAGAGTCAAATGTCACAGCGTTTACCCACTAGGAATTAAAATGAAAATTTAATCATTAGTAATTTTCTTGTAACCAGGTAGAGTACCAATGTGGAAGGCAGTATTCTTCTGCAATTTAGCAGTAGCTAGAAGTATTAAAACATAATGAAGTTAAGATATATTTTCAAACTAAATGCTTTAAATATACTTTATGTGTGAAATAATAAGTACAATAAAGATCTCACCTCATTCTCAAAAATTATTGCATACTACTTTTCAGATATAGAAATACAATTTTGGGGGCCTACTGGATATTGAACTTAGGGGCACTTGACCCCTGACACACATCCTCAGTCCTGTTTTATATTTTATTTACTGACAGAGTGTCAAGGAGTTGCTTAGTGCCTCACTTTTGTTGAGGCTAGTTTTGAACTATCAATGCTCTTGCCTTAGCCTCCTGAGTTGCTGGGATTACAGGCTTGTATTACGGCACCTTCTGGAAGATAGAATTATTAATAAGGAGTATTTAGAATATTTCTACTTTATAAGACAATTTTATAATAAATATTCTTGAAGTACATATGTGTATATATCAGTGTGTGTGTGTATATATATATACACACACACACTCATACACATACACTATCCTATACACACACCAAAAACAAAAAAACAGTTTATACAAACTATTTTTCAATATGCATCGTGTGTGTGTGTGTGTGTGTGTGTGTGTGTGTGTGTGGCCTGAACAGACCCCTGTGAATCCATTAAAAAAGTAATTCATTAGAAAGTAATCCAGAGCCTAATTCCATATTGTTTTTATTTTTAAAATTATTTTATTTGTAAATAACTTTAGTTGTAGATGGACACAATACCTTTATTTTATTTGTTGATTTTTATGTGGTGCCAGGGATCAACCTCGGTGCCTGGGATCGACCTTGCCATGCTAGGCAAGTGCTCTGCCACTGAGTCACAACTCTGGCCCCAAATGTCTTTTTCTCAGTAGAGAATTCAGCTGTTTCTTTTAAACAAAAAATAAAAATGCTTTTGGTTAGGTGTGTTTTCAGAAAAAAAAAGTTATTTAATAGAAGAACTGGAATGGGCAGAGCTCTTAGCACTGTGAAGAATGAATTACAATTCCATGACCTGCTGTCAAACTTGTTGTCATTGCTTAGCAATTATTACCCTTCTGGAGCCTGAGAAGAAAAAAAAATGAGTTGAGAAGATTACATTTGAAATCATAACCATTTGAAAGAGCCAAGAAATAGGTATGCCATCTGTGGAACATGTGAATTTTTCCAACATGATAGTTGATTTTTTATGGTTTTAATAATAACAGTAACAACAAAAACCCTGCATGTATTGAAAAAAGTAAGCTGAAGTAGCAGAGCCAAGTTAAAAGTGGAAAAGTTTCTGGAAGAAAATGCAATTCATTATGAAAAATTAAATCTTTAATTTCTTTTTACATGGAAAAATAGAAAACCAAGTTTATTAAAACTACAAATGTTTCCTTTTTTAAAGAATTTTTTCTTGAGTGTTGGATGAACCTTAATTTTCTTGAACAATTATTTATATTTGGAGCTGAGAATCAAACCCAGTGCTTCTAACATGATAGACAAGTGCTCCACCACAGAGCTAGAACTTCAGTCCCAAATGTTCCCTTTTATATGTGAACGTTATCTGACTCACTTAGCTGAAGTTCTCCAGAGAAATGAAATTGGCTTGTCATTAGGGTCTTCAACTGATAAAATGAGGCTCACCCACATGGTGGGTAATCTGCTTTAAAATGCACTGATTTGAAGTTTGAGACCAGACTCGGCAATATAGTGAGGCCCTAAGGAATTTATCAAGACACTGTCTCAAAATAAAATGTAAAAATTGCTTGCAATGTGGCTAAGTGGCTAAGTGCCCTTGGGTTGAATCCCTGGTTAAAAAACAAACAAACAAAAAATGAAATTTATCAGTGGAAGAAAATAGTGTAGTGTAAAAATTAGCTTCATACCTCTGGTAATTTTTTTTTTTTTTTTTGTGTGTGTGTGTGTGTGTGCCGGGAATTGGACCCAGGAGCACTAAACCACTGAGCCACATCCCCAGCCTTTTTCTTAAATTTCATTTAGAGACAAGGTCTAACTGAGTTTCTTAGAGCCTCACTAAGTTGCTGAGCCTGACTTTGAACACATGATCCTCTTGCTTCAACCTCCCAAGCCACTGGGATTACAGGAGTGCATCACCAGGTTCAACTCTGGCAAATTTATTTTTGACAAGCTTCTCAGGTTAATTCAAGAGACAATAGTCTTTACCATATATAAGATAGAGATAAAATTGCATATTTTCATGCAAAAGAGTGATATTGGATTTTACATGAGATTATATAAATAATTAACTCAGAATGATTCTGTACCTAAATGTAACAGTTAAAACTATAAAAATAAAAAATAAAAAATCCATAATCTAATGTTCTTGAATTTAGAAAGAGTAGTGAAGACTTAGATATTCTTCAAAAGTACACACACACACACACACACACACACACACACACACAAAAACAACAACAACATCAACAACAACAAAAAAAAACCACCATGCTTGGATGTCTAAGAGGCCTTTTTACACCCATGGTCCATGACCTCCTCAACTTCCCAGACAACTTTTCCTGTGGTCTTCAGCATCTCAAGTAGGTTAATCCTGTACTTGGGGGCTTAGGTGGACACCTTCACACAGCTTGAAAGTGTATAATAAATTATGACATTGGTAAGTTTTATATTTTAAAGAATAAAGAAATAAAATCACATAATAATATTATATAAATTATTATATAATTTACTACATGTTATATAAATAGTATATAAATTATTAGATGGTAAAGGAAATTAGTCTACACTGATCATTTTTTCAAATGTATTTTTTATTTATAGGTGGACACAATATGTTTTTTTAATTTTTCAATTGGTTTTATTTTTTAAATTCATAACAGTGGAATGCATCATAATTCTTATTTCACATGTAGAAGAATTTTTCATACCTGTTTGTATATAAAGTATGTTCATGTCTTCATACATGCACTTTGGATAATGATGTCCATCACATTCCTTCATTATTGCTAACCCCCCCTCCCCTGTTTATTTAATTTTTATGTGGTGCTAGGTATCAAACCCAGTGCTTCACGCATGCTATGTGAGCACTCTACCTTTGAGCCACAACCCCTGCTCAGTCTACACTGCTCTTTAGGCTTGGGACTAAGGTGTGGAAAGACTTGGGTCCTGATAAATTTTCTACCCCAGGGTCTCTGCTCTCATCTCCTGTGACTTCTCTACTCACTCACCTCTAGCCACACAGGCCTCTCTCCTTTTCCCAGTACAACTTTGCTCCAGCCTCAGGACCTTCACTGGGTCTTGTTCCTCTTCAGAGCCATCTGTGGCACTTGGGCTTCAGGTGGCCCATACATCAGGCTTTTGTTGTGTCATCATCTTCTCCATGGAGACTCCTATGATCTCCCTAGCTCCTGTGAAAATTTCCACTACACCCTGACCCACCTCTGCAACAACTCTTCACCACCCACTGTCTGGATTCTGTGA